CCCCCGCACCCCGTGTCCCCAGGACATCAACGACCTGGTGGGCCACAGGAACGTGAAGCTGTTCGTCACACACGCGGGCTGCCACTCGGCCTATGAGGCCGTGTTTCACGGCAAGGTGGGGGCTGAAACCGGCCATGTGCAGCCTGCGCGGTGGGGCGGCTTGACGCTGTGCTGACCGTGCGCCCGCTGCAGGCCTGCAGATTGCATGTACCGCGCAGGGTGCTGTCCTGCTTGTTGCACGCTGCAACCCCGCGCTGCTCACCTCCCACCCTCCCTGCCCCCCCCCCACCTGCTGCTGCAGCCGGTTGTCGGTGTGCCCTTCCAGTTTGAGCAGCAGGTGATGTCTGCTACCAACTCCCCTGCGGCCCGCTTGTGGCTTGCCACCTGATACGCCACTGTCAAGTACGGCTGCACCGGCTTGCGCGCACGTCGGCACAATTACCCATGTGACGCCACATGACGGGCACAGCCCCTCACGCCCTGGCAATGTGCCATGTGTCGATTGCAGCCCAATTCACCTTCCCACCGCAACCTGCACCCCTCAGATCAATGCAATGCGCCTGCAGGCCCTGGGCATGGGCAGAGTCAGCTCCCAGGCGCCATCAAGCCGCCGCCAGGGGGAGACGTACACCCACCAGGCGTTGGGGGCCCTCATGCAGCAGGCAAGGGTGCCGCCGGGCTGTTGGCCAGGGCGCATCACAAATGTTTGCGAAGGGGGGCGGGCGGCAAAGTCGTGCTGTACTCGAAGCTCCATTCGTGGTGCCGCATGCCCCTGAATGCCCAAGCGAGTACGGTGCAAACAGTGCATTGCGTCCATTCAGAAAATAATGCGTTTTTGCGGCATGCTGGCGTTCGAGCTGCCTCACCCCCCCCCCCTTGAATCCCCTCGCTGGCTGCAGGTCATGAGCGACCCCTCCTACTCCGCTGCCGGCGCGCGCATCAGTGCAGCAGCGCGGCTGCGGGCGGCGCTGCGGCCGCCCCTGGAGCTGGCCGTGCAGGAGGTGGAGATGGCCCTGACCCACAGGGACTACGGCCGCTGGCGGCCCTACAGCGTGGACGGCGGACGGGGGCACGGGCGCGGCGCCGACCTCGACAGCGGTGCTCCGCTGTCCTCACACCCAGAGCTCTGAACCGCCTTGTGCTGATGCGTGGGCTCGTCATTGCACAGCGTGTGTGTGCGGATTCCGCCCCTGAATCGGCGACGTGGCCAGGAACGCATTGGGGTATTTATCTTGGGACGACTTGCTGCGGTGGCACGTGTGCAGCTGCGTGCTGTGAAGTTGGAGTTCATGCCAATTGGCGCTGGCACGCAAGTTGAGCATCGTCGCCCTTTGCAAACTTGTTTGCAAATGTCTTGCTGCCTTACACCTCGGCCCAACCCGCCGACCGTCAGGCCCATGCATCGATGGTGTGCACTGCGAGGGTCGCTTGGACAATCCTGGCTGCTTCCCTGGGAGTAGCATTAAGCTTGTGGCTGGAAAGATGGATGATGGATGGGGGTGGGGAGCCTCTGGCAAACATGACATTCCCAATGACAAGCGTAATGTACCACACGCCACAGGAAGACACCATTGTGCGCCGAGTGCCACGACCCCCTGGCCAGTAGAGCCTGCCGAAGTCGTCAGAGAAATTAACAGTGCGCAAATGAAGCAACACTGACGAAGCGCTGGCATGCCTTTCATTCACTACTTGACTTCCCAGTACCTACAGAGACGAGGATAGCGCCAGCAGCCCTGCAATGTGAAGGCGGTTGGCTGCAGTTTGCTGGGAGTGACAGTGAGGGGAAATTAGTGTCAAGGGAAGATTTCTCATGCTGATGGGTGTAGCCAGGGCCCTTGCAAAGACTGACCTCGCAAGAAGCGCTTTGATGTGGCCACCTGGGCGCTGCAGCACCGCCATCAACAGCCGCCAACGCTCTTTGCCTCATGCTGGCCCTGGCCCCCATATCCAGCGAACAAAACACATGCGCATACACGTGATGAGCACTGCAGAATATTTACACCCTGAGGCTAGCCTGCTCAGAAGGAAAGCGCAAGACATACCAAAAGGACCGCCGGTGCTGTTGCACTGTATGGTTTTGTGGATCGTGGAGGCGAATGATCCTGCAGGAACATTCCGCTGGGGCAGTGGTGGTGACGGCAAAGCGGGCAAGATGAGGCGGTGCGATAACCGCTTTTGAAACACGCCAGATAAAAAGTGCGGGCAAGGCGAGGGAGTGACCCAGACGTGCGCGCCGATGGGGGATGTGGCAGATGCGGCACCGCTGATACAAAGAAGGGCCCCTGCCAGCAGGCGCGCGATTTCGTGGGCTGGCTCAAGACATCGAGTGATGTTGGCTAGTGCGCTCCTGGCTAGCAAAGCTCAGGCGCAGCTGCTGGGAATCAATGGCGGGGAGGATGGCGGGTGATACGGGTGGCCCCGTGCACTTGTCATGCGCGGGTAAAAATGTGTGAAGAATGAGGAGGGGCGCCACACGGGAGATGATTGCTCTAGTGCAGCGTGCGTCCCGAACTTGGGCGCGCCCACATACCCTTGTGGCAAACAATGTGGCGAGGATGACCCCTGACGGGTCCTGCCGGCGGGACAGCACTTCAGCAATAGGCATGCCATACGCAAGCACAGGCATACGAGGGGAGGCAAGTCAAGGCGCCAGATGCTCGATCAACAGCTGCAAGTGTTCATGTGACGACAGCAGGGATATGTGCGGCGTAGCCATGGGGCAGCTTCGCAGCCACATGCGGAACCGCACGAGGCAGGCAGGCAGGGTATCAACTCTTGATGCGCAACACGACAAGCATGCAGGCGAGCACAGGCGTGCGCTCCACAGGTACTGAGGGCGAGCGCATCGGTCAGCGCGGCGCCCTGCCGCCACGGCATGCCCCCTGAGCGCCGAGCGGCGCTAGTGCCAAAGCCACGTACGCCCTGCTGTCCGACAACCCCACTGGCACTGAGCTGCCAATGACAGGACCCTGACACCAGCCGTGAGCTCACTGCTGCTGCTGCTGCTGCTGCTGCTGCTGCTGCTGCTGCTGCTGCGGCTGCTGCTGCGGCTGCTGTGGCGGCAGCGGCGGAAGGGGAGCCAGCGGCGACTGCTGCTGCTGCTGTGGTGGCGGTGGCGGTGGTGGCACCTCGTAGCTCCACTGAGTCACCTGCGCCTCAGGATCGCCCTGCCAGTGGCCCATGGGGCCTGACGCAGGCACCTGACCGCCGAACGCGCTGAGGGCGTCGACCGCTGCCGCCATGGCCACCAGATGCTGCTGCTGCTGCTGATGCTGCTGCTGCTGTTCCTCCAGCTGCTGCTGGTGCTGCTGTTGCAATTGATGCTGCTGTTGTTGCTGTTGCTGCTGCTGTTGCACCACAGCAGCAGCCTGCGCTACGGCCACAGCCGCTGCTGCCTGCTGCTGCGCAGCAACTGCTGCGTGCGCCTGCACAGCCTGCTGCTGGTAGTGCTGCTGCACTGCCGCAGCTGCAGCTGCGGCCGCCACCATCTGCTCCACGTGCTGCTGCGCATGGGCGTGTGCCTGCGCCTGCTGCACCTGCGCCTGCAGCTGCTGCGTGGCAGCGTGCATGCCCTGCTGGCCTGCCGCCACGGCCGCAATGCCTGCTATGGGAGCGTCGCCGGCCGGGCCGCCCGCAGGCCATTCTGCAACCGAGGTGAGTCCGGCCAGCGCTGCGGCTGACGGCACGCGCGACATGGATGGCACAGACTGCAGCGATGGCTGCAGTGAGGGTGCCGCCTGCAGTGACGGCTGGGGCGCGAGCAGCATGGGCATGACCATGGGGCCGCCGCCGGCCGATGAGATGCCGATGCTGGACGCGATGGCGTGGTAAGCTGATTCGGCGGCGCTTGGCACCAGCGGCGCTGGCGGGGTCCCCTGCACCGCAGCCGCAAGCGTGGCGGCCATGGGACCAGGCAGGGAGGAGACCGAGGCGAGGTGGCTTGTGGCCAGTGGGCCAGACCCTGGGGCCATGGACATGCCGGGGGTTGGCGCCAGCGGAGGCGCTGGCGCGGACATTGGTCCTGCTTGTGGCTGCTGCTGCAGCAGCTGGGCTGCTATGAGAGCCGAGGGCAGCTGCTGATGGGAGGCCATGGGGCCCACGGAGGCCAAAGGGGCAGGGGGCGCAGTAGGCACGGCCGCTGGAGCGCTCAGGCCAGAGAGCAGCTGCAGCAGCTGCGTCTCCGCACCTGGCGTCTGCGGCTGCTGTGCTTGTTGCTGTGCCTGCTGTTGAGCCTGCTGCTGCGCGTGCTGCTGCGCCTGCTGTACCTGCTGTTGCAGGTGCACCTGCTGCTGCACTTGCTGCGCCTGGTGTTGCTGCTGGACAGCATGCGCCTGTGCCGCCATCGCAGCCACCTGCTGGTGGGCGATTGCATGGGCGCCCTGCATCGCAAGGGCAGGTAGCTGCTGCTGGAGCAGCTGCAGCTGCTGCGCCTGCTGTTGAGCTTGTTGCTGTTCAGCTTGCTGCTGTTGAGCTTGCTGCTGCACCTGCTGCTGCACCTGCTGCTGCACCTGCTGCTGCACCTGCTGCTGTTGCTGCTGTGCTAGCAGCTGCGCCATAAGTGAGACCAGATCGCTCGAGGGTGCCGGCTGCTGCTGCAGCGGTGCCTGCTGGGTCTGAAGGTGCTGCGCCCACGCCTGCGCGGCCGCATTTTGGTTGGCAGCCTGCTGTGCCCCCGCTGCATCTAGCAGGGCGGCGAGCACATTTGTGTTCGCGTGCGCCAGCGCGGGCACAGAAGCCGCCGCCTGGGGGCCGTGTGCTGCCACTATGCCAGCCAGCTGGGCCAGGGCCTGCTGATGCTGCTGTTGTTGCTGCTGCACGGCTGCCTGCTGAGCTGCCTGTGCCTGCAGCGCAGCGTCAATCACGGCCGCGGCAGCGGGCTGCGGCAGCAGCACCTGCTGCTGGACTGCCTGCTGCTGGAGCATGGCTTGTTGCGCCATAGCCTGCTGTGCTGCCGCCTGCTGCTGCGCTGCCGCCTGCTGCTGCGCTGCCGCCTGCTGCTGCGCTGCCGCCTGCTGCTGCGCTGCGGCCTGTTGCTGCGGTGCCGCGTGCTGCTGCGCTGCCGCATGTTTAATTTCCTGCTGCTGCTGCAGCTGCTGGGCTTGCTGCTGCGCGATTGCCGCCGCGGCCTGGCGCGCGGTTGCGCCCTGCCTCTCCGCCAACATCCGCGCGTACCGCTCTGCGAGCCCCTTCATCAGCTGCCCGCTCAGCGCCGCCGCACTCGCGCCTGCTGCACGCTCTGCCGCAGAGCTGCTGCTGTGCAGCTCCGCCGCGTCTTCACTCATGGCCGCCAGGTTATGGAGGAACGCCGCGAAAGTCTCGGACGTGCTGCGGCCGCTCTCATGCAGCGCAGCAGACAGGTCCGGGCCGTCCTCGGAGTGGAAGCCCAGTAGACGCTGCAGCACCTCGACGCCTGAGCCGCCAGTGCTGTCGGAGCCGCCGCCACAGAGCGTCGCGATGACGCGTGCCGCTACGGCATCGGTGGGCGGTGGGCGGGGACCGGGTGCGACCGCCGACGCCAGGGGGGAGCTTGTGGCAAGACCTGGGCCGGCCTGGGTGCCTGGCAATGAAGCGAGGGTGCACAGGGTGTAAATTCAGTGGACATCGTGGGGATTGCAGTGGTGCACGTTCGGAGGTGAGTGGTCACCTGTTCGCGCTCAACAGGCCGAGGCCTCCAAGCCCGCCGCCACCTGCGTGCTGCTCACCCGTTCCGGTCGCTGGAGGCGTGCTGCCCAGTGCCCCGCCGCGCGCAGCGGCGCGCCCTGTCTTGATGGGCTGAAGCGCCGGCGGTGGCTCCAGGGGCTCGCCACCCTCCGCCGCGCCCTGCCCCTGGGCGGCCAGCGGTGATGTCGCCCCTGACGTGCTCGGCAAAGCCCCACCCAGGGCTGCCTGCGGCGCCAGCGCGGCTGACCGGTTGGCAGCGGCGGCCGGCGCAGCACCCTTGACACGCGGCACGACACTGCTGGGGGGCAAGCCCGAGGGCAGGTTCGCCAGCGCCGCCATAACCGCCGCGGCCGCCGCAGGCACGGCCGCCTCGCCGGACTCGCTGCCTGCGCCGGCGGCCGCCGCGTTGCTGGCAGGCGTGCCTGCAATCGGCGTCCCTGTGGCGAGGGGCGTGTCACCCCCGGCCTGCGACTCTGCCACCACAGACGCAGCAGCGGACGGCGCGCCCGACGCTGATGTAGAGGCCAGCACAGGCAGCCCTTTGATGCTGCCAGCACTGCGCACCAGCGCCGCGGCGATGGTTGATGCCGCGTCGACGGGGAGGTGCTGCGCGGCGGTGGCGGCCGCAACGGCATGCAGCGCGTTGGAAAGCGCTGCCGCCTGCTCTGCCGCCTCCGATGCGGCCGCCGCGACCGCTTCGGCGTCGAGCTCCGACTGGGAGGCACTGCCCGTTGCTAGTGCAGCAAATTCCAGGCCCGGCGCATGCGGCAGCCGAACCCGCTGCTGCACAGGAGACGAGATCGGCGGCGCTGCCGCCGGCAGGGGCACAGCGGCGCTTGAAAATGGCGTGCCCGTGGGCATTGCGGCGCCCACCGCAGCAGTGGGTGGCATGGCGTCAGTGGCAGCTGCACTGGCATCCTCCCCGTGAAGGGATGCGGAGGCGCCAGTGGCAGGCCTGTAGGCCGTTGCCGAGTCGTGTGAGGCGCGCCCCGAGCGAGGCTGCGGTGGCGGCAGCCCTGTGTGCTGATCGCAGCTGGCCTTTGCATCAAGTTCGCTGACGAGCTCGCCAGCAATCAGGGCGTCCTGCTGCTGTGTGCCCTGCGGCCTCAGGTGCTGCAGCACCGACTGCAGGTGCTCCTCTGTCAACTGAGGCGACTCGCCGACCTTCATCAGCAGCCGTGCCCCGTCGCCCGTCAACCCTGTCACTAGCTCGCTATCGCCGCTGACCCCGCCTGTGGAAGCAGGCGTCACCAGCCCATCAGCGGATGCCTGGTCAGCACCCCGATCGGCGTCGCGGCTAGCAGTGCCCGGGTCCATGTCGCGCCTGTGTGCGCCCGTGCGCCCCCGCCGGGCCACGTGCGATCTGCAAGCGTGACCGGCCACGATCGTTGCCGAGATTGTGTTACAACAGCGTGGAAGGTCAGTATGCGCGCCACCCACACCTCCACAGGCGTCTGCAGAGCCAGCGTGTTTCCCCGCTCTGCGTCCCGCGCACCTGCTCGGGCCCCAGCTGCCCACCAGCTCGCTCAGCACTGTGTCAGGTCTTTCACAGCCTCTCCAACCCGACCGAGGTAAGGACTGCGAGAACAAGCTAGTGCTGCAAGCGAAAGGGCCGTGTGGCCTGAATGTGACACTGTCATGTCCAGCACAGGCGCTATAAGCGACTCAAACGATGAAGCAATAATCACGGTCAGGACGCCGCAGCACAGCTTGTGGGGTGTCAGGAGACGCTTCGAGTGACCCACTCGCGCACCTGCCGCCGCCTGCGCGCACCCACCAAGGGATAGGGTGTGTCGCACGGCCTGCTCTTGCTCATGCATGACGCAGCTATGCAGGCCCTGTGTTGCTTTGCCTCCCAGGTTGCTCGCATGTTTTGGTCCTGCTGCAGGTGATGGTTCCCCCCAAATCGCAAGCGTGTCGTTCGAATCAGCATGCTCAATGCCACCTGCAACGAACCGGGCTGCAGGCCTCAGATATGGCATGCCCAGCAAGAGTTGCGGCGTTGGGGTGCACGCACGCCACCCATAACATGGGTATGCTGTGCACAGGGTCACAATCTCCCTACAGACCTGCTTTCCCACAAACAATACATCATCAGCCCCAAGGCTGTGGGTGCATGTGGCGGGTGGGACCTGGCGCCATCACCCATCTGTGGCGTCCTGCACATTTGCCAATCCAAACATGAAACCATGCATGCAGAAATCGAGTACAATGAAAACCATGCAGGCGCCTGTCAAGGGTCAATACCTGGTATTGTGGTCAAGCATGGGCGATGGCGTTTCAAGCACGTCGTTCAATGTCATGCAAGATAGCAAAGCCACCATTATAAAAGTAATTCGGCGATAGAGCTCAGGGATCCGTTCTGCCGGGCACCTGCCCTCAAGACCAACGGATCAGCTGGGCTTCAGCATACTACTTTTGCAGGCCAATAACAACGCAAAATTTGATGTATGCTACTGATCCGCTGATGAAAGGGTGCTGAGTGCGGCCTGCACAGCAAGTGCGCAGGTGGGCACTGCTGCAGCTGTTTGCTGCATTTGCCAATTTGTGCGTGCCACTGTAGATGAGCGGCCGAGCTGCAGGTCTTCCACAAACACTCCCCTCAGATGTATATCTATACCTACGCGTAGAGACATGGCCGCCTTGTCATTTGTCGCTGCAGGACGCGATGCATGTTCTCAACAAGCTGCTAAGTGTGCGGCAGCACGCATCGCCGCTGGGCAGCCCAAGGTCGCCGGCTGTGGCGCAGCCGCTGCTCGCGTCTGAGGCGACGCCCTCGCCGCCTGTCTCGCTCTTGGCCAGGGCCCATGCGGGCTCTGGGAACTCTGCCGCCGGCCACACAATCACGACCCTACTGGTGGGGTCGAGCACTGCGGCAGCGGAGGCGGGAATGGGCGCCTCGCCGGCGAGCTCCCCACGAGGCGGCGTGGGTCCCAGCAGCCCCTTCAGAGTCAAGCCACTCGACCTATCACAGCTGCAGCGCCCCCGAGGCGGCAGCGCCAGCCGTGGTGCCAGCGCTGTGCAGAGTGCAGCTGTCACCCCGCGGGGGACCCGGTATGTGAGCCTAGGCGCATCAGCTGGCGGAGCCACACCATGGCAGGAGGCGGCCGCGGCGCTGCACATCAACCTTGGCTCATCAGGAGGCGGCGCACCTGATGCAGGTGGTCCGAGCAGCAGCCTGCTCGAGGCATCAGGTGAGGCCGCTGCACCTGACCAGCTGGACAGAGGTAGCCTGCTGCGGTACCGCATGGCCATGCAGGTACCGCATGGCCTGCAGCAGCCGCAGCAGCAGCAGAAGCAGCAGCAGCAGCAGCAGCAGCAGCAGCAGCAGCAGCAGCAGCAGCAGCAGCAGCAGCAGCAGCAGCAGCAGGAACAGTGTAGCGGCGCTGCCGCCCAGCTGCAGTACTCGCGTACTGGAGGTGCGGAGGCTAGTTTGACCCAGGTTTTCAGTGGCGCTGTGCAGAGCGCCAACCCTTCCAGCGCCGGTGCATCCTCTATTATTCGTCTGGACAGCGATGGGCTTAGGCGTCACCTGCATGAGCTGCAAATCGATCAGCCACAAAGAGGCAGCACAGTGCCGCTGCGACAGTCGAGTGGAGGCAATGGCACCCTCTGGTCGGGAGGCGGTGCCAAGACTCCCGGCCGTATTCCCTTTGCCACGACGGGTCAGGGAGCCCAGGTAGACGACCGCGCACGGCCCCCGCCCGCCGGCTGGGCGGTGGCAGGATTGAGGGCACCAGCCTCAATTCCCGGGACGCCAAGGCGGGCCAAGCAACAGCAGCAGCCGCAGCCGCAGCCGCAGCCGCAGCCGCAGCCGCAGCCGCAGCAGCAGCCGCAGCAGCAGCCGCAGTCGCAGCAGCAGCCGCAGCCGCCGCATCAGCCACAGCAGCAGCAGCAGCAGCAGCAGCAGCAGCAGCAGCAGCAGCAGCAGCCGCAGCAGTTGCAGCAGCCGCAGCAGCCACAGCAGCAACAGCCGCTGGTTGGCACGGAGGTCTCCGTATGTGCAGGCGTGGAGGCACTACAGCAGCGGCTAGCCAGGGCCACCGCAACTCTCGGCACAGCTTTCAGCAGCATTGATGGGCAAGCGGCAGTCCACACCACGGAAGCACGTCAACAGTTACGCAACCAGCAAGCGGAGACGGACGGACTGCACAAGATATCTCTGGCATCGCCGGGCAGCATGAGTGCAGCTGGTAGCCAGGCTGTTGAAACTGTGAGTGTTGCCAGAAGCAGTGAAGAAGCCTCAGTCAGCGAGGTCAGCACCGGAGGCAGCAAGAGTGCCGAAGAGCACACAGCCAGGCCCCATGCCCGCCTCCCGCGGCCCCATCGGCCTGGCCGCCACTCACAAGACTCCAGTCTGCAGGCGGCGGCACATGTTGGCCCGGGTGCTGGCCAGTGGTCGCCCGCGAAGCTGCAGAATCACAGGATGAGCAGCGAAGAGGCGTGGGGTGCAGCAGAGCCACCAATGGACAGCGAACCCTCCACCCTTGATGATGCCATGATGCAAGGGGCAGCTGCCTTGCTGGCTGCCCATGTCAAGGGCGGCAACTCGACAAGGGTGCGTCAGACGCTGTCAAGCAGCAAGCGAACACGCGAGTCGGCGCCGCAGAAACTGCAGCGGCATGGAGACTGCAGCAGTGGCGACAGGAGCAGCACCGACGTCGATGATGTTTGGCTGGCGGAAGGGGGCCTGCCAAGCAGGGGCCTCATAAAAGCGGCCTGGCAGGTGGATGAGGGCATACCCGCGGTGCAGCAACACGTCCCTCCTCACGACCACGGGGCGCTTGCGGGTCGGCAGCGGATGGCCGAGATGCGGCAGCAAAACGACGCCCTGGTGCGCGTATTAGAGCGAGAGCGGCAGCGCGCCGACAAAGCGGTGGTGCAGGTGCGTGTGAGCAGGATTACGGGCGTTCCGGGGGGGTTCCGTGGACGGTGTGCCGCGCGGCCGGACATGCGCTTTTTAGCAAGCGCTCACAAACGCGTGCGCCCCATGACAGTTTTTTAGCCACTGTGGCTGCTGCCACCGCCGTAATTTCCAGGTGTCGGAGCTGCAGGCTGCCCTGAAGGAGCTTCAGATAGAGAACCAGGTGCGCTGCATTCAACCATGCACAGCCTGAACAGGCTCCGCGTCTTGACCTGTCCCCCAATCATTCTCTCACTTGGGTCCCGTGCCAGCACCTCCTTCAGCCGCCACCCGTCGACCTCGTCCCGCGTTTCATCGACCAGGTCGCGCTGAGCACGCTGCGCCAAGACAACGCGGGGCTCAGGGCCCTGGTGCGGCGGCTGCAGGTGAGACGTGGGGCCGCTGTTTGACGAGTGCTGTGACACCAATCCTCGGGGTTCCAGAAGGCGGGCGTTTTGTCAGGATGAGCAGCACACAGGCCTGCCCCAACTCCACGTGCAAGCGCTCTTTGTACTTCATGATCAAACCCCAAAGCCGCTTTGCACAGCCACTCCGACTAAGCATTCTCCAAATCTATCCATTCTCCAGGCCGGCACCGGCTATGAGCCAGTCTTTGAGGCGTACGAGGCAGAACTGCACCGCATGCAGGCCTCAGCTGCAGCAGCTGAGGCCGCCAACGCTGCGCTCGCGTCTGAGCTGGCTTCCTCTGAGCTGGAGCTCAGGGCGGCGCTGTCGCGGGAGAAGCGTGGAGTTGGCGGGGCAGGCTTGCGGCGGCGGCACGGGAGCGCGGACGGCACCTGCGGCATAATGCAGGAGGCGGAGGATGCTGAGGTGGTGCAGAGGGCGGTCGCGGCAGCCGCCCCGGGGCGGATTCGCAGCACCAGCCCGTCGCGCCGTGGCTGCGCGGCGGCTTGCGGCGGAGGTGGTGGCAGTGGCGTTGGTGCAGGCAGCCCTGATGCGCAGGGCGTGCGCGTGCTGCGGCAGAATATGCGACGCCTGGAGACGCGCGCGGCTGCGCTAGAAGAGGAGCTGGCGGTGTCCCAGCGGCGCTGCCTCGCGCTGTTGCGGTACCAGCACGCCTTTGACGGTGTGTCCCAGCGGCTGCGGCGAGCGGAGGCCGACTCGCGCCGCACCGAAAACGCAGCAGCCGCGGCGCACACACGTGCAGATGAAGCAGAGGCGCGGTTGAGTGCGGCTGAGGCACGAGCGGCTGCATTGCAGTCTGAGCGGGACGGCCTGGAAGCTGCCCAGATGGTGATGGCCCGGCAACTGGACGAGTTTGGAGCGCAGCTAGCCGACCTGCGGCGCGGCACGCGGGGCCAGCGCTTCCTGGCAGGCACAGCCACCGATGCGGCGGCGGCACCACCCGGCTTGGCAGCGACCGCAACGCCTCCCATTGCACAGCGCCGTGCCGGGCGCCTGGCGTTGTCACCGGCAGCAGGCCACGGTGAGCGTGCGCCCCGTGGGTCACCGCCGCAGCCGGCAGCAGTGGCGGAAGGCGTCCTGGGACACTTGATTGGTGAGATTCAGCGTGGCCTGGAGGAACGGCAGCGCGTCGAGATGCAGCGGGAGCTGCTGCTGGACCTGGTGGCAGGGCGGCCGCTGCCGCAGCAGGGACGGCAGCGAACCATGCCGTGATTTGAAGGTCACCGAGTGTTTCGTATTTGAAATGGTTCTCATGCGTAACTGCACACGAAAGTAACGGTCTAGACCCTGAAAGCTTGGTGGTGCAGGACGGTGGACATGCAGACTCTAGAACTGAAGTGCTGCGGGTGCCGCAGAGCTCAGCCCGGCCTCTGAAACCAGTGTGCCGCAGCGGTGCGATGCCGCTGGGACTAGCCGGCTGCTCATCATCGCTCTGCTGCGGCTCGGCGGCATGAAACGGCCGCTTCCTTGCCGCCACACCCCGCACTGCGGCTCAGCGACTGACGACGGCCAGCCGCTTCCTCACCGCCACACACACGCTACACACTGCGCTCGCACCCCCCAAATCGAGCGCTGCTGGGCGTGCTGCCGCGCAAGCACAACACGAAGTGATTTCAAGGGCACCGAGTGTTTCGTATTTGAAATGGTTCTCATGCGTAACTGCGCACGAAAGTAAGTGAAAGCTTGGTGGTGCAGGGCGGTGGACATGCAGATTCATTGCGAACAGCAGCTGAGTGGTTTCACGCAAGGCTTGGCCACAAAGTCATATGACGCCCACCTGCCGCGTGATGCGTGACCTAGTGATACCACATGGACGCGCTTCTCTTGCCGAAATTCATGGCCGAGCGGTGTAGGTCCATGTCAAAGCACGCGCCTTCCTAGCAACCGCCACGAGCCCGAGCTCGCGATCAGTGCTGTTTCGACACCAAAGCTGGCCTGAATCACGTACTAAAGTTAAATATAATGGCGAGAGGAGCTACTGTGCCCGTCTTGGGCGTCATGCTGCTGCTGCTCGCTGGTGAGAGGCAGCATTGAGCAGCACTATGCACACCTTAGTGCAATTGTGACACAGTTACAAGAGTTTACGAGGTTTCAAACCCTGGGAAACGCATGTCGACATCCTCGCCACGCTGATGCGTGCATGTGCGCATCAATGCCCGCAGGCCACTCATCGGCTCAGCCGCTGATCAGCCAGGTCGGCGACCTGCTGCTGACCCTGACGTCCGCTGTTCGGAGCTTTCGCCAGTTCCGCAATGCAACTGCTACGCACCGCACCTCGCGGGCGGCGGCCAACGAGCCGGCCGCAATCAGCGGCGAGCCCTTTTCGGCGCGTGTCCTCTCGGTCACAGCAAGCGGCGGCCCCGTCTACGAGTGGAAGGCCATTGCGGCGGCCTCTCAAGACAAGCTCACCGTTGAAGCCAACACCACCGCCAACGTAAGAGCAGCGGGTGACTCAAAAATGTAGGTGCGTGAGCCTGTTGTGGTGTTGACACTTGCAGGTGGGATGCGACGCCGGCTGCCCTCCTCTCTGTGCCCCAATCCCCCATCTCACGCCCACCTCCCCCAGGTGACATTCACGACGCGCTACCAGCGCAACGAGACGGCATTTGCCCCCTACACCCTCAAGGGTCAGGTGGAGCTGCGCAACCTCAAGGCAGAGCATGTTGTGCTGGATGTGAGCGCAGAAACTGAAAAGTAGTCTTGCATTCCATGAAGATGGCACCGGGGACTGTTGTATCACACATGGGGCTTGGACAATGCGATGTCTGTTGGGCAGCTGTTGGGATCAGCTGCCATTCTTGGAAGGCCTGTCCAACTGACTGGGACCTTGCAGCACTTGAGGGCTGCATGCAGCGGTGACAATCAGCAAAGCACTTGTCTCACCAAGCACCCCGCCCCGACTCATCACCCGTCCCCATCACCAGGGCCCCGTCAAGGTTGTTGTGTCCCTCAAACGGCCACCTGGCGTCACCACGGGACCAGAGGTCATTCAAACCCCTGTCTATGCGGCGTGCGGCAAGGTTGCACCCATCAAGGTGCCAGCTCGGCGAGGCAGTCATGCAGGCACAATCAAGTGCAGCTTCGAAACAAGCCTGCCGCAGGCTGAGGCGCTGATGCGTGCGGCAGAGGCGGCTAGGGAGGCCGCAGCGGCGGCTGCGGCACTGGGCAGCCAGGAGGCAGGGCGCCTCAGCAATGGGACAGAGGCAGCGGCAGCGGCGGCTGCGCAGGATGCCACTGCCCCTGGCAACGCCACCGCTGACCAGGCAGCCAAGGGGGTTTCAAACTCAACTGGATTTGCGCCTGCAAATCCAAGCACGATTACAAACACCTCAGCAGTCCCGGCCTCTGATGCTGCGGCGGTGACCGCCAACGGCAGCAGCACGGTCAGCGTGGCGTCGATTGACGGAGGGGCGGCCAACGCAGCTGCGACGGCGGCCACGGAGGCCTCGATTGCCAACACCGCTGCTGGCGTCCTGCCGGCTTACACTGTCGTGGGCGCTGTCCCGTCTGGCTCCGCGGCAGCTGGGCCAGGCGTGGACGCCGCAGCCCTCACTGCTGCGGCTGCTGCTGAGCCGATCGTGCCGGACGTGTCCATCTCAGTACTAGCTACACCGCTGACCGGCGCGGCTTCATCAGCCAGCGATGCTGCTGCTGCCGCGGCGCCCGCCGTCAGCGAGCCCTACAAGGCAATCTTTGAGGTCCCAGAAAAGGCCTGCGTCGTCGCGTCCGAGGCGTTGAATGGCCCCCTGGCAAAATATCTCATCCCCTCGAGCTCGTCCATCACCCAAGGGCTGCGCACCATCTGCGGAAGCGGCGGACAGTATTCGTACGACGCGCAGCTTGGAAACTTTGACGCCTCCGCCTGCGGCACCAACACGCTCACCAACGCTCCAGGCGTTGCGCACGGCGGTGCGGCGGCGCCTGTTGACACGGCCAGCGCTGCAACGGTGCACATCAATGTGGTAGGCTGCAACCACACGCGGATTGCAAGGCCAGACATCTCTATCACCAAGCTGCAGGTTGTCAATCTCTTCAACACCACGTGGCGCGTGCTCGCCCATGCTGCGCCAGCGACCTTAGAGGCTGGTGCAGGAGGCGGGCGGGTGTTGCGTGTGCCTGTCAACGGGACGGCCGCGGCGCGATTCGTGGTCAACCTGGTCAAGGGGCCACCTCAAGAGCTGGGATACCGCCTCAGGGTGAGGCCTTGCATCGGAAATGGGAAATGGGTAGGATGGGTGCAGTTTGAGGACTGAATGCGAGGTGGCGGACAGGGTCTGGTGGTGCATATGACGCGCTTCAAGCCAGATTCAAATGATGAAACTGCGGGACAGCTTCTACTGCAACATTGCTGCATCTTCTGCCAATCCGCTTTGCCTGCACGCCCAGCCCATGGCCATCCCTCACAGATGAAAGTGCAGCTCTAACTTATCTCCCACCCGCGTCTCACCCCCCCCCCCCACACACCCACCCACACACACACAAACACACACACACACATACACACACACACACACACACTCACCACAAACACCACAAACAGGGTGAAATCAGCGTCGCCACCGCCTCCCTCATTCCAAGCGTGCTATCCGTGGCGCGCGTCGCCATCACCAGCGCCGCCGGTGCTACATCTTACGTCGACCTCCACTGCCCTCCGCCCGTCATCATTGGCTCCACGCGCTGCGCATTTGACGCACCCTGGCCCGCCGGCGGCGCCGGCTCTGTCCAGGCGCAGCTTAGGACGTTTGCCTCTCGAGCTTGGGATGTCACCAGCGGCACGCCAAAAGCCTTTGACTTCTCCAGGGCACAGGATATGGACCTGGGAGCCTGCGTCAGCGTCGAGCGCACCTACACGGGGCGCTCCATCATCAACGGGACACACTGGGTTGCACCGGGCAAGCCTTTGGCCGGCCTGGTCAGCGGCGTTGACTCCTTGTTGGGGACAGTGGGCGTGAACCTTACGCACTACGGCTTGCCGGCCAGTTCCGTCGGCGAGATCACACGGCTGCTCAACCTGCCCGTTGGGCGCCGCCGCCGTGTCTTGCTTGCCGGTGGCGAGGGCGAGGTGCTGGTCGGCCGCGCGGCCAACGCCAATGCGACCTCCGCGGTGATGGGCGGCAGCGAGGCCGAGGATGTGTCTGATCCGTTCGATGCAGCCGCGCTGGCACTCATGCCGTTCGTGCACCCCCTCAAGGTGCTGTCAGGCGCCGTGCCACCTGGCCCCAGGTCGGGCAACCCCTTGAAGTTCTGCAGCAATCACACGCTCAGCTGGACAGAGTTGTTTGGAGGTGCCAAGGTTGACGCCTGCGGAGACATGTACAACGCCCTCAGCAACCTCCTGATCACGCCTGACTTCTCAGGCGCCGGCGCGCAGCCCGTCCTGTCGCGCAACGTGAGCCTTCCCGTGCTTATTGCGGGCTGTGCGCTGACACCGACCGCCAAGCTACTGGCGATGCACTCCGCGGCCGCCAAGGCGCACACATGGAGCGTCTCGGCCCAGCCGCAGGACAAGAAGACCATTGACATCAGCCAGCCGTCCCACAAGCCGGCTGTGGCCAAGTTCCAGGTCACATTCAACCGCACCACCACCTTGACAAACTTCACCCTGGAGCCGGCCATGGTCCTGCTCAACCCCTTCGCCAAGCCCCTGAACGTGGCCGGTGTCTACGCAACCATCTCCATCAACGGCCTCCCAGATGTCGTAAGCGCGCTCCTCTGCAAGGGCGCGGTGAACGGCAGCACATCGTTCGTCCTGCCGCCCACGCCCAGCGCGGGTGTGCCCGTACCCATTGGGTGCGTGGGCTCCATCCCTTTGCCAGGGCCCGCAATCGGCACCATATCGGTCACCACCGTCACCACGTCTGCTGGCAACATCACCAGCCCGCACGCCCTTTTTGATACAATCAGTGGCGTCGACGACATCTCAGCAGAAGAGGGCCGCTGCGCCACCGTCACGGGTGCTTTTGCCGGCGGCCGTCCCGCTGGCTCAGTTGGGCCCGCGCCAGTGGTGGCGGGTCTGGTGCCGGCCAAGGTGGGCGGCAACATGCCGCCACAGTCCAAGGTTGAGCTGTGTGAGCCGCGCAAGTTTGTGTTCAACGCGACTTTTGGCCCCTTTGCTGACAAGTTCACTTCTTGTGGCAGCTTCATGGTGAGTGGTTTTGGGCAAGGGATGAGGTATGATGCCACGGAAAGACATCTGTTATAGCACTGCACGAGTGGCGACTGCAATAGCCAGAGGACAACACCAATGACATTGCGCAAGCTGCTTGCAAGTTGCAAGCATACACCCCCCCCCTTCTGCTAACCAACCAACACTATCAACTCCAATCTCAGGCCCGCTATGTGGCCACCATTCCCGGTGCAAGGAAGTCTTCCTCCGCCTCCACCCCCATCAACGTGCGAGGCTGCGCCGCGCCTCTGCCACTGCTGAGCCTGGCGTCCCTCAAGCCGGTAAACGTGGTGTCTTCCTACGCCTGGTCTGTCACCCGCAAGCTTGTGCCCCAGGCCACGCCCAAGTTCAACGGACTGCTGTCTTTGCGCCACGACCAGTCCCAGCTGCTGGACCACGTTGTCTCCTTCACGCGCTCACCCGCCAGCAAGGCGGCGGTCAGCAAGCACCATGCGGTCGGGGTGGTCAACATCACCAACCCCAGCGACAAGCTTACTCTTGCAATTGCAGGGGTTCATGTCTTGCTTGTTCACAAGGGCGCACCCAACATCACGCTCAACGCAAAGTGCCCAGGGTCAGGCAAGGGCGGCGCAGTCTCACTGCGGCCGCTGGAGACGCTGCGCTGCACGTTTGACGGGGTCGTTGCTGATGCGCGGCCGTCGCTGGCACAGGCCGTTGCACTGCTTGCCGATGGCCGTCACGCCTCTTCCACCAACGCCCCGCGGGCGCTGAGCTTTCAAAACGCTCAGAATGCATCAGAGGGCGACTGCGCCAACGTGTGGGACGACTTCCGGCTGCTGAGCAGCCCGTGGGTGGCAAAGGCCGGCTCGCTCCAGGCGGCGAATCTGCGGTATGTTGGAGAGCAGCCGCCGAGCATTGAGCTGGGAGAAGCCCCTCTGAGAATCTGGTAGGCAATTCCTCTCTGCCCCTGCTTGCGCCTTGATCCTGCCAGGCGCATTGGTTTGGGGCAAGATTTGGAAGGTTTAGGTTGGAAGTGGCAGGGGCCACTTCATGCTGGGACGGCCTGGATATCATCCATGCGCTGCTGACTCTACTTCACTGCACATCTTCATCTGTTTGCATTTGTTTACTTTTTAGTGACGCCGTGTCCTCCCTTATGCCCTCCTTTGGCCCCATGCCAAATCTATGCAGTGCGTCCAAGGTGTTCCGTCAAACTGCACAGTTGGGCCCATTTGGCTCCGGCGGCTGCGGTAGCTACACCTATGGAGGCAAAGCTGTGGTGCAGCCCCTCAGCGGGCTGCAGAACCCTGTGGCCACCGCAGCAGGGAAGCTGCTTGATGTGCTGGTCGGCAAATGCTGAACACCACGATTGGCAGCATCAGCGTCAGTGCTAGCTTTTGTGCAAGATGCAGGAGGCGCACCGGCCTGGGTACCTAAATCTTACACTCATTTCATTTGGCTGGGCCAAAAACACACGCACAAGGCAGCCAATGCGCCGAGCAACTTTGAACCTCAGGATGGTCCAGGCCGTCAAGGACAGCAATTTGGTTTGTGTGGTACAGTACCGACACCAGTGATGCACTGACACAGCAACCTTGGATTTTTTTGACTGAATCCAGCCGCCGCTGCTGTCTTGATTGCATTCAAATGCTCCCCATCCTTGCTTGCTTGATTGGTGTCCATGCTACAGCTAACAGGCCGCAGCGCTGTGGCCAAGACGGTGTCTCTTGTTTGATGCAACGTACAACGTGTGGTTGAGGGCTGATTAGCTGTGCGCAAGATTGACGTTTGCCGAGGGAGTTACAGTGCCTGCAAGCCTCATCCAATGCACCTTTGAGGTCTGCCGCAGCATTGTCGGTCTTGGAGCGGCTTCCGCCACAACATTGTAATACTTGAAGCTCCCGTGCGTTGAAACTTAACTTCACAGCACCAGCAAGCTTCACCTGCATATGGTCCATCCTGATCAGGTAGTCAAGCAGGCACGCAACATAGCAGGTACCAACAAACTGCCGTATTTGCTGAAAGGCTGTCCGTGATGTAGCCAGGAGTTGCCGCCAACTTGGCGCTTGTTGCCGTGTGAGCTCAGGGGGTAGGTGCATGTGCTGGATGTCCAGCAGGGCGCACAGGACAGCAAGCGAGGATTTGCTGCGGCATGAAGTTTGAAGCACGTCGATCATAATCTCGGGCCTCTTTGCTGCATTGAACCAGTTGGCGTGCCCAACTTCCAGACAATTTTTTGAGTAATGTGTCCAGTGTGCCGCACTTCTAGATCCTGCGTGCACCCGCCTGTGATCGAAAGCACATGTCTACAAACAGCTCAGCAACGTGCACCCCAGGCCTATCAGATGCAAACCCATGCGGCACCAAAGCCACAGGATAATTGATAAGCACTCGTGTTCCGGCTTGCTCTTGTGAGTCGTGTGTTAGCTGCCCATGCTACTGAGCCATCTGGTGTTGGCAGACTGGACACTGCATTGACCTGTGGTCAGAGCGTCGCCGTCACCAACTGCAGAAGGACCCCGGCAAACCCACCTAGAATATGTTGATGTAAACGACAGACATACTTGACAAGCACCATTCTTGTCCGTGTCTTCGCAGCACCACTTTACGTTTGGAACCTACCGTTTTGCGCCATGATCGCCCCCGACGCTTTCTAAGAAGTGATGTTTGTGGTTATGATTGTCTAAATGATAGTGTTTCATAACAATACAAGAGGCTGAGGCAGTGTCAGCCACATCAGGGGGTCTGTGAGCGCCGTGCATACGTTGCGCGGCAGCGCAGAACCACCTGCGATTGCAGCTAGACTGCATGCCTGTACCAAAACCAAAAGCCGGGGGCAGCGTATCCATGCCATGGCAGCTTTCCTCGCTGCCGGAAACAGCGACGTGCATGGTGCCATCGCAGCAGGCGCGCGCTGCGCTTGCCACTGAGCTGGAAGCGGCAGTGCAGCGCAAGGCCCTGTTCAAGGAGTTTCTAGCGCGGCACGAGGCAAGCTGCGCACTGATGTAGTCTCGGCGAGAATAAGTGTGCTGTGGGTGGTGGTTCGCTTATGGTATGTGCCGATCATGCGGCTTCCCACCAAGCGTGCAGGGTAGCCGTGTCGTGCAGCATAGCATGCACATCAGCTCATATGCGCATGCGCTGCGCAGGTGATGGAGGCTGTCAATGAGGCTGTGTTGGCATTGTTTCGCTGTGACAAGCTTCCAGAGGATCCGCTGGCCGTCCTGGGAAGGCATCTACTGGATGCGTCAGAGCGGCGGAGGGGCAACAGCGGGTGCAGCGTTGGCGAGACCAGCGCCGAGGCGGCTAAGGGGCCAGGAGGTGGACAATGACCTGCATCGCGTCAGGCAAATGCATCGCGCGGCATGCCTTAAAGCATGCGAATTGCAAATAACGTTGAACTCTTCTCAGTGATACACACGCTGCAGGCGGCTGTGGCAGATGGGAGCCAAGCTGGTGAGCTCAGCTGCCGAGGTCGATGTCACAGGGGGACAAATTGCCTACGGCCAGCTGTCCTGACGTAATTGCAAAAAAAGGAAGGGAGGGAGAAAACAGCGACAGATGGGGCTCAACTATCATGAAATGGGGGAACAACGGCGGATCGCCGCTTCGTGTTGCGCACTCGATTGAGCAGCAGGTGCCACCGCAACCGGCGCGCGTGTTTCCGCCTTGGTGGTGGCAGCACACCGTCTCGTTGGCACACCGCTGGTACGAACAAAATTGGCATCCAACTTCGGTGTCGTACGGACGGATCCCATAGCCAAACTCATAATCACGGCGCAAGAATTGATCTTGCCCCACTTTCATGCTTGGCCCATCTGATATAGATCTTTGAGAGCTAGCGGGTATCTCCAGCTGTGGTGAGCTAAAGGCCGCACGGCCCTCCACGATCAGTTCAGCTGGGTAGTTCCCGACTGGCTTGACCAGGTGCCTCTCCGTGGGACGCAGACGCAGCTGCGGGAGGTAGCCGGTAGTGACATCGTGCGTTGTGAGAATCTTTGAGGACGGCCACAGGGGCACTGGCGGGGACGCCGGCGTGTACGGCGCACGTGCGGCACGATGGCGGGAGGCAAGGCGCCGCAAGGAGCGCTGGGCGCCCTGCGCGCTCTGGATATGTTCCCTAAGGTATGTACAGCAACAGTGGTGTATGTGCTGGTTTGGGTGCAATTACGAAGTACAGAGCGAATCAGGCGGGGAGGGGGGGAGACATGCTCGAGCGAGCCACGCTGCAACATGTCCTCAGTGGTGCAGGGTGGCGAACTGCAGTGGCTTCACTCCCAGCTTCGCCTGCATGCTGTGGTTGGATGGCGTGCCTGCCCCACAGGTGAACGAAGATTTCTTTCAGAAAACCACATCTGGTGGCGTCATCACGGTGGTGGCCTACTCGTTCATGATGCTGCTGTTCCTCACAGAGACGCGTGAGTCAGGCCCCGCATCTGACCTGGCGGTTGGCCGTGAACCATTGACCTCCAGCACAGCCCACCTTCCTAGTACGCTGACATGGTAGTGATCCTGGACATTGCTGATACCTTGCAGGGCTGTACCTCGCCACCCACACTACCCACGAGCTGGTGGTGGATTCTTCCAGAGGGGAGACAATCAGTATCGATGTGAGCGGTGGCGCCGTGGAGCACAGGGTGGCGGCTGCTGGCGCAAACACATGCCTGAGTGTTGGCACGGCTGTTGCAGCACTTCCGTGCAAAACTTCTCATGGTTGATGCTGGCATTGGTGTGTGGTATGCTGTGGGAGTGTGGCCGCCGCACCCCCAGCCACACTGTGCACAACCATGTGCGCGCCCCGTCCCCAACCGGCCTGGACAGGTCGACGTGACGTTCCCCCGCATGCCTTGTGCATGGCTGAGTCTGGATGCCATGGACGTGTCGGGGGAGATGCACCTGGACGTGGTGAGGGCCGCGCAAGCGGCGTTGGGCAAGGGGACGCGTGGGAGGGGGGGGGTGGCTGAGGCCCGGCACGAGGCGGCCGGTCAAGTTGACCCGCCAGGCAGGTTGCCAGCCAGAAATTGAAGGTTGCGGCAGCTCACTAGGCAATCAAGCAGGACCTCTGAAGCTTCAAACAAAACAAAACGTCAGAGGGCTGTAGTCATTGGTGCAGGCTATGTTTGCCCTCAACTCGAGCGGCCAGTGCGCCCCACTCCAAAACCATCGTCCTGGCCACCGCCCCCTCTTCCCAGGAGCATGACGTCTACAAGCAGCGCCTGTCAAAGGCAGGGGTGCCCGTGTCGGACGCGGAGCGCCACGTGTTGGCGCCTTCCGCAGTGGCACCCCTCAACGACACCAACGGCACGGTGGCGTGCGGCACCTGCTACGGCGCAGAAGACAAAGACCACCCCTGCTGCAACACCTGCGATGACGTGCGACGGGGCTGGTGTGGGGGGATTCGGGGGCTGCAGCGAGAATCACAGCCAAAGGGTTCCCACCACTGACTGCACAACGAGTACATATCCACTCACAGTTAAGAGTCGCCCCAGGCATGCTGCGCATGCAGTGCGCGCGCCCCCAGCTTGCCCCCTCATCACGCCCCACCAGGTGCGCGAGGCGTACCAGCGCAAGGGCTGGGTGATGCTCAAGCTGGCTGACGTGACGCAGTGCGCCCACGACGGCTACCTGGAGGCCATCAAGGCTCAGGAGGGCGAGGGCTGCCGCATGTGGGGCCGCCTGGACGTGAACAAGGTGGCGGGCAATTTCCACTTTGCTGCCGGACGCAGCTTCCAGCAGGGCAGCGTGCACATCCATGACATGGCGCCGTTTGCCGACAAGACCCTGGACTTTACCCACACCGTCAAGCGACTCAGCTTTGGGCCGCAGTACCCCGGCATGCGCAACCCGCTGGACGGCGCGGCGTCTGTCACCCCCCCGCCGGACGTGTCCAAGGGGCGGCTGATCGGGGGCAGCAAGCTGGCCACGCCTGAGGCTAAGGCTGCACAGGCTGCGGGGAATGGCCCGAAGACGGGCATGTACCAATACTTCCTCAAGGTGGGCCGGGACCGGGGGCTGGGGATAGTTTAGTGGGGCCGGTGGTGAAAGTGCGGAGGACAGAGAGAGTGTGTGTATGTGTATGTGTATGAGTGTATGTGTGAGAAAGAGAGAAGGTCAAAGAAAGGCCGCTGTGCGCCCTACCCAAAAGCTGCGTGTCCTGGGAGTCAGGGGGGCTGCAGCCGCCTGCGGCTTCACCACCAGACGATCCACATCTGTCAAGTGTCCCTTGCACACTCCGCTCCAACCCCTGCTGCCTCCAGGTAGTGCCCACTGTGTACGTCGATTCCTCAAACAAGACTCTCGTCTCAAACCAGTACAGCGTCACAGGTAAGGGAACAGTCTGAGAGCCTGGCCCCTGGGTTGTGGCTGCATGTGTTTCCTCGCAAGGCAGTCAGATTGCCTGCTGCCTTGTGCGCGGCTCCTGCCCAAACGCAATCTCGCTGCCTTCATACGCCTTTTCGGCACATCCAGAGCACTTCCGCGAGAACGGCGCCACTGCCAGCGGGCCCGCCTCCGGCCGCACCCTGCCGGGTGTATTCTTCTTCTACGATTTGTCCCCCATCAAGGTAGGTGCCAACATGCTTGCACGCGTATGGTGCACAACTGCAACACCAGGCTTAGCAACCTGCCAGCGCAGCAATCTGCCTCCGGTGTCCATGCCAGGGTGCTGCACGCGTGCGGGCGGGCAAGCCCAGTCACACATCGCCACTGGATTGCAACATGGGTTGTCCACAGCGCCTTTGTGTGCTGAGATTTGCTGCACCTCATGACGTCCACAAGCACACCCCTCGCTTCTCCCTTGGCTGCCCCCCAAAAGGTCCACATCCGGCAGCAGCGTTCGTCCTTCTTGCACTACTTGACAAACCTCTGTGCCATTGTGGGCGGAGTGTTTGCTGTCAGCGGACTGCTGGACGGCGCGGTGCACCATGGAGAGCGCATCATCCGCAAGAAGATCGCCATGGGCAAGTACACTTGAGGCACAGCGTGCAACAGCGCACGCTGAGTGGATGCAGCCGGTCACAACCCGTGATGTTGGCACGCTGTTGCCAGCCCTTTCACACAAAAAGGGACTCTAGCTATGCCTGCTCATGTTTGACCTGCAACAAGCTGCACTGCAGCTCGGGTCAATGCGTGGGCCTTATTATGCAGCTGCAGCATGACGTGTTGACAATGGCGCGAGCAGTACGGAGTGACACAAGGTATGCTGCCCTGATGTCAATTGAGTCGCTCACGGCGCGTGGCGTCAGGGCGTCGCACACCGCTGCTGTTACCGTTTCTGGGCTCGAAAGTCCTCATTTCCTGTTTCTATTGTTATGCGTGTGCACCCCTGCACTGAACTCCCCTGTCGCCCCACAAATTGCGGTGCCCTCTTCTTGCATGCGCGCTAGGGGTTTATCAGGCCCCTGACACACTTTGATGTAACAGGGCAAGCCTTGCAAACTTTTGTGGCAGGCGTGCCCGTCGCCCCCAAACTGGTGTGGGCGTGCGCACGCCTCTTGAGAGCCATGCCGTAGAAGGGCGTTCATGTTCAGTCAAACACAAAGTGAACGGCTCGTGAGGTTGAAGACGCGCAGTTCCTCAGCTGGTCAGTCAGTCAGTGGATGGCCATACTGTTACACCACCACACGTGTCGCTTACGGTGCATCGCCAAATTCGAAACGGCAAAAAGAATGCTGGCAAGAGTGCACAGCCATAGAGGTTCTCGGCGTGTCTAGAAGGCTGGAAGTCAGAAAGCAGGGCCGCATCGTCGCACGCGGTCCTTCGGCACCCAGGGGTCACAATACGCAAGTGCCTACTAAGATTATGCCCACGGCAATGACAACGAATCCGAGCCCAAATCGTACACATGCGCATGTGTTGGCGGTGCATCCTGGGCTTGCCATATGCATGAACCGGCTGTGCGGGACAGGGGGGACGCCGTGGTGTGGGGCTGCGCGTAGCGCGCAGGTGCAAAATGAAGCGTGCGGTGCACACAATTGTAAGGTAAGGGGCATGGTAGCCTGCGCAGAGGAGGGCTGCAGTCTCGCCACATAGGGGCGAGCAGTTGACCAGTGGCAACCCTACCCCCGCAGCGTGGGCGATCGCGGGCGCTGAAAGTGCAAAAGGCAGCAGACTGCATACATCACCCCAGCGCACGTAGCATCCGCACTACGCCTCATTTAATTCCCCCCCAGCCCCCTCCTAAGGTGCGACCGCCATGCGCGCGAATGCGTGGCGGTTGAGAGCAGCCGCGGTAGCGTGGTGCTCCCGGCGTCCTTGCGTTGTTCTTGCACATTGCCCCGGGTCCTGCTGGTGCTAGGAGTTGCAAAACACTTGTTGTCAAAATCTCCTGGCTGTTCCTGGCGCCAGCCAACAGGGGCGGCAAGGACCGACGAAGTGGGTATGGGTGGATCGCCCCCAACCGGTGGGGAAAAAATGGGGCCGGGTACCGTGTGGGTGCCGCATGGGCGAGCACCTAACTATCTGGCGCCCGAGCACTCTTAAGTAGTTGGTGCGACGCCACGCCTTCAAGCACAGACCAATGTGTGGGCGCACACTTTTGTGCGCGTGTAAGCTGTATGCATATGTGGGGGTTGCAGGTGCGTCGGTATGCGGGGAGGCGCGTGTACAGTGCGTGCTGTAAGCCTCTGGCCTCGCAGGCGGCTGGGACAGCAGCGCTACTCAGCAGCGCAATACACGTGAATAGGTAGAGTTTCAAGAGCTGGAAAGGGACTAACCTTGAGCCTAAACCCCCCGTAAAAAACCCATGCGACTCTCCCCTCTTGCCTAATAGTTGACCTATTGTGCGCCCTGTTCCCTACGCGGTGGCCGGGGGCTGCCCAGGGGTGGCGGGCAACCTGGGACCGTGCTCCCCACACAGCCTGGCGAAAGTCAGTTGAGCTCCGAGTACCACTCGTGAGGGATGCCAAACTGGAAGGCTCCCGTCCACTGGAAGTCTTCGCTGCAGTCAGAGTAAGCGCGTGCAGCGCCTGCACCCGCAGCGCAGACTGGCAGCGGCCCAGCCGCCCCCGAGCTGGCTGCTGCGCTCGTGGAGGTGGGCGTGCCTGGTGGCGCCACCGCCAAGCCTTGGCGCCCTACGGCTTTGCGAAGCGCCGGCGACCCTGGCGCTGCCTGATGCGGCAGCTTCTGGGTTGCCTGGTGCTGCCGCATCAGCCCCGGCGGCCCGTGTGCCCCATGCGCCGCGTCGCACGCGGGCATGCTGTCGACCAGTGACGCCTGCCGCCTGGCGGGTGCCAGCAGGCCCAGCTCACACGCCGCAGGTCCTGCTGCCCTGCCCAGCGCTGCCCCCTCTAAGGAGACACTGCTGCACACGGGCGTGCAGCTGTCTGGCGGCTGCACCTGACCGTGGAGCAGCGGCTGCTTCAGCTGTGCACCACACTCTGACGGCTGTCGAGGCGGCGGCGGCGGCGGCGGCGGCTGCGGCCGCGGAGCCAGCGCACCAGCGGCGCCCGCCGTGCGCATGGGGGGTGGCGGCGGCGGGGGCGGGTGCACCCCACCTCCTGAGAGGAAGGGGCCGGGCGGCGGCACATACGGCAGAACCACTGCCGGCCGCATGCCGCCCAATGGCTGCATCCCACAGGCCGCCACCCCTGCTGGGCCCAGAACCGCCGGCTGCGGGCCCTGCTGCTGGCGGGCGCCGCGTCCCCCTGGCG